GGCTATGGACACGGGCAGCTAAAGGAGCTGACGGCGAGGTCCAAGGTGTGGTTATGGACATGGGCAGCTAAAGGAGCTGACGGCGAGGTCCAAGGTGTGGTTATGGACATGGGGAGCTAAAGGAGCCGACGGCGAGGTCCAAGGTGTGGCTATGGACACAGAGAGCTAAAGCAGAGTAGGAGAAACGGTTCTGGGAACTGAGAAGGTGTCAGGGAGATGTGAAACTAGGATGTCAGGTGATCTTGTACGGAGACTGAAAATCTCCAGAAATTACGGAAGATTTATATAAAGGACATGTCTCGTTTTTATCGAAGACTTGTGAACATATAAGAATGTGTTCATATTATCACTTTTAAATTAAATACAATTAAAAATAAACAAAAAAATTAAAACTCTGACTGACACTGGTAAGCCTAAATGAACATGGAAGAAGATCTACGGACCAACAGCAGGGAATAAATAGGTAGGCCAGCTAGTAGCCAGTGGGATGCTGAAAACTTCAGAGGAAGAAAAGTTTTTTGAAGAGTAACGGCTGAAGGGACAACCAAGCTATGAGAAAGTTAACTTTTAAGCCTGAGGCACCCAGAGTACAGAAGGGACAGACGGGCTCCACTTGAGAGAATGGCAAGAAAAGTGGTATCTTGAGGAAAGGGTCAGGTATCGGGTAGGTTCAGAAAGGAGGACATAGTAAGGAAGGGTCAACAAAAGAAGGATAAATGGTCGGTGTGGCTGAGTAAACAAAGTGCAAAGCTTAAAGAGAGTACAGATAAGGGGTGAAGCAAGACTGGAATATCACTGAGGGCACCTGTCAATCAGGGTAACTTCCAGAATTGAGAGAATGAAGACAGGACTGGTTAAGCATTCTAGTAAGCTGAAGTTCAGAGAATAACTGAATTACAACAAGACTCATAAGTTAACCCCAAATCTCATACCACCACACTGCATTAAATATGGCTTTTGTTCACTCTGAAAAACAATATTGCTTACAAATACTGAATTCAATTCTCTCCATTTCTGAAGAACAAATAAGAATTACGCCAACTTGTTTATTTCAAAGATATCATCAACGATTTACTGAAATTTCCAACACTTTTATCTCACATGTTGCACATCTGTGGGTAACAGTCACAACATTTCAGGAGTGACAGGCCTATGCAGCATGCAGCCAGCTAATAAAACAAAAACTAAAAACCACTCCTTAAAATGAAGTGATAGCCAAGGATCCCAAAGCAACACTCTGAGTAAAATGAATAGTACAACGTAAGCTGGATACTAACCAATTCCAACAGAGGCAGAACATTTAGTCTGGTCTTTGATTTCCATACGGACAACATTTGCAAACTCGTCAGGAGTAAGTCTGGTCTCTGCGAGGATTTCGGTGATGTCAACCAGTGCTTCATCACAACTGACAGCCTCGATGCTGTGAGTGTAGCTATCAACACAGAGCAAAGGCAGTGAGTCACAGCCACAGCTCACCGTCTGCTCAACAAACGCTGCAATACAAAGTCTTCCTATGGTATCTTTCTTCAGTATTTCCTCAGGTTTAAAAAGCTAAAAAAAATTAGCATTTTAAATAAAGGAGCTCCAAGTGCCATTATTTAGTTACCTATCTTTTATCTGCACAGTTACTAATGTTTTTCTCTTTTTCTGTATTAACTACGAAAAACACAACAGAAATTATCATTCCAGTTTCTCTATATTGAAAATGCTTTTGTAAACCTCTGCAGAGTTGAAAAGTTCTGGATGAATTAGACCTATCAAAACATTTATTCTAAAAATTTTCAAACGCAGTTTAGCAGAATCAGTTAAATAAGTGATTGCTGCTCTCCTAAAACAAACGCCATCTCCCACAGCAGGTCTAGGATGCAGCATGATAAAATGGCCAATCGTCCCAGCTGCCTAAGAGGATGCCATCTACACTTCCTCCACGTGGAAATAACTTGGTTTTTGTTTTGCTTTTTTTGTCATCTTAAACGATCTACCCCCACGGAAGATTTGTTTTAAGTAGCTAGAGAAGAGGAAAAATAAGAAGAGTTGCTATGTGACCACAATGCTAACGAAATATAAGGGCTACGAAACCATGAAATAGAACTGAACCAGAAACGTTACGGCAACCAGAGAGACCTCAGAATCGAACATTCGTCTTCAATAGTCCACTTGGTGATGTACAGTGCAAGGGCCAGGCCTCACCTCTCATCTACACCTTACTGTATGTTACACATCAGATTAAATATCTATATTCATACACGAAATGAGTGTGCTTTGTTTAGGCTGAAATCAAGGGTAAAATTTGAAAGAGCAGAAGGGTATTATACTGGATGTGAACATTTTTTCTTCACAGTGAAAGCTGCCTGAGCTACATGCCACTGAAAATGTCTCCATAGACAAAAACTGAATCAGGCCTAGTATGGACGGTTCTCCCGCAAATCCTTCTGATACAAGGTCCAGGCTGGTAGTCTGAGGGTCTCTGTACCCTGTACACGTAGTACCACTACTCAGCTCAGTCACCCTAGTTGGGATGCCGACCTCAGCTGTGAAACAGGAATTAAAGCACACTTTCCACTTGCTAACACCAATACTCCGATATTTGGGATCTTAGGGACAGTTATGATTATGACTGACCTATTACCCAGCACTCAATCCTACTTACTTATGCCAGATAACCTCACTGGTGCCTTGGCACTGTTCCCCTCTACTAAAGCAAGCTCCCTTGACGGCGGGAACTGGATCTCAGTCCTCTCTGTGGGAGACTAGCTGCATCAAGCAGTGGTTTGTACTTAATGGACACTCAAACAGGTGTTCAAAACAGAGAATAAGAAAGAAGAGAGAGAGGTGAAGGCAGAGGCAGGAAGTGCAGCTCTTGGAACGCTGGTACAGCTCAGAGGCTGACAAACCCTGGCCCACAGTCCTCACGCCTGTGTTGATAAGCCGTACTGGACACAGCCACACCCTTTCGTTTACACATTATCTGTGGCGGCTCTGGCACCGTACGGCAGAGTTGCCACAGACACCTCACCTGGCCCTTTACAAAGAAAGTATGCCAATATAGATGTTTATAATTTTTAGTTTTGAGTTAATGTTAAATATATCTACACTCTAAAATGTTTTTTAATTTATTTTTTCTCAAGTCAACTAATCATTCCCCATGAAACTATTCCTAAAAACTAACTTTGGCATATTTAATTATTTTAGAAGCTAAGAGTCTCTACTCCTTATCACCCCATCATTTCTAATTTTAAACAAGACTGTAATTCAAATGTAGTAATAAAAGAGAGTCAAGTCCAATTCTTAATCTGGTTCCATGGGGGAAAAAACTATAACCACTGATTAGAAGTTATGTAGGCAGAGAATCAGATTATACATGGACATCACAAAGCACCTCTACAATTTCAGCAGTGGAAAAATGCCCCCATGAAATTGAGCTACTGATTGCTGGGAGTGCTCAAAGAAAGGTTAGAAGGCTATCAAACTGGGTTGCTGAGGAAAGGGTTCTTCAAAGAAATAAAAGTCTAGCAAAAGTGATCCTGACAATCCTAAAGAAAACTGGACTATCCTTAATATTAGCTAAAGAAAACAGTAATACGGACATGAAAGTGACTCTTATCACACCATACCTTGCCAGTGTCTCATACATTGTTCGTGCAACTTCCTTATATGCATGAAAATCATACGGAACAGCTTGAAGATTAGGACACAGCTGCTTAGCTTGCCCAAAAAACATTCCATTCTTAATGCCAACTCGTCTAGAGAGAGAACAGAGCACAACGGAGGTTATGCTGGAAATTTAAACTCAAAACGGAATATCAAATATGCTGACATTACCTCCCCATGCCACTAGCATACAATTTTCATGTAACATTATTTTCATTAGGGGTCAAAATTAGGTATTAAGAAAGCTTACAAGTCTGTTTTTCCCTCGAAGGAAAAATTACACAATTGTCTGATTAGTGTTAAGTGACATATGTAGATGTGCCAAAATACGTTATTAAGAGACCAGGTTTGGCTCTTGTCTGGATCTGGAGATTTCTCCTAAGACTCAGATCTCTGGCCCTTCTGCAGAGATGCCAGTGCGCCATATATGCTGGTGATATCCCAACGACCACAGAGCAGGAACGTGTTGTCAAAAAGGTACTTTCTCTCCCTAATACATGGCACATTTGGCCAGGGCTCATCCCCCATGAACAAAGAATATAAACGAAAGAACTACACAAACAGTGCTGTGTGACAAACAGACAAAACGGACTCATCCTGTTACCACCCAATTCCCAATTGACCAATTCCATGCTCCTGAAGTGGCTCCACAGTGGCTGAGATGCCAACAGCATTGTATATGGTAGGACATCACTCTGGGCAGGAGCCAGTGTTCCAGAACTTTGAGGGACCTGATTGAAAATGGTAAATTTTAAATCTACTGAGTGTCTAAATGCCCCACATTACCCTTTGACATTTGGAGCAATCAGCACAAAACTATAATTATGGAATTATACGTAATTCGTAAAATTGCATTTTACCACTCTGTAATGAATCAAGAAAAAATACTGTAGTAAAAACACAAGCAAAATAACAAAGCAATGTTTCACCAGATTACATACTCCTATGTAAATATACCAAATGATTAGTCTATCCATTCATCAATTCATTCATTAAGTATTTACTATCTGCTTACTTACTATGGAGGTGGGCCCTATTTTAAGAAACATAAAACAAACAGTTCTCAATTACCCAAAGACCTTCTGGCATCCTCCCTATATCCATACCACCACTGAGAACCAAGAAGGAAGAAAGTCCTTCACGTCACTCAGAGTTAAATGCAAAATCCCAGGTATTTTTTATGTATACAAAACGTAAGAAATTATCTGATTGCCAAGCCCCTATTAGATGAAAAATATCTAATAGGAAGGAAAAATGATGGTCAGGGAAGTGATTGATAAACAACATAATAATAAAAAAAAAACAAACAAACAACTCTTTCATTCATTCAACAAACACTTACGTCTCAGGCACTTTGCAAGGTGGTGAGTATAAGATGACCAACAAAACAACATCATCATGTTCATGAGGATGACGCAGCATGCACCCAGCACAGGATGAATTATATGCAACAGACCTTGTTTACTAGGCATGGAAGTATATATGTAATAGTTTAGAAGTATAAATAGAAATATGCATATAATGGTTTGGAGAAGTTATCAGAAATTATTAAAGCAGAAAAAAAAGGTCCGGGGGGGCAACTTCAGGTTATTTGGAAAAATGTACTTATTTAAAAAAATGTTTTCAAGAATGCTAGACATAAACATGGTGCCAGCACATAAAAGCTAAACTTAACAAAATTAAAAGTAACCAATCATTTTTTAAAGGAATGTGCTACAGAATTCTTAAAATATTATGTTCTTTTATTTACAATACTTTCATTTCTAAAAATTTTCAGGAGCACATTATTTTGAAAAATATAGTACATCTACTCATGTACTACGTCTGATCCACGACCCATTACAGGATGGTGCAGGACCAGGTGGCATTTCGTTTCCTCGTGCATGGGATCGCCAGCGGTCGGGGACTGACTCAAAGGCAGCTAACGACAATTTATGTACTCATGCACATCTAAATCCCGGAGAGAGAAATGTTTAAGAGCCACCAGACACTATAACAGGAGCCCTGGTGGAGCACTGGTTAAGCGCTTGGCTGCTAACGGAAAGGTCGGTGGTTTGAACCCACCATCTGCTTCTCGAGAGAAAGACGTGGCAGTTTGCTTCGTAAAGATTATAGCCTTGGAGATGTTATGGGAGAGAGAGATCTACTCTGTCCTACAGCCTCACCAGGAGTTGGAATGGACTTGACGGCAACCGGTTTGGTTTTTTTAGACACTATAAGGGAATTACAAACCAAAAAGAAGAACCTAAGACATTTTCCATAAGTAACGGACGCAAAATACCTTGAGCTGGTCGATGGGAAACTGAATTTATTTCATGTAAAATAAATGAGTAAAGATAATTACAAAAAAATTTGAAGTGACTCTTCATTACAGTGACATACCTATTCCTCCAACTAAAACCTCAGCCAGAACAAACTGTCAATACTTCCCGAGTCTATGCTGCAGAAAGAGTTTGTCCTCACGCTTAAAGTTTACAGGCATATTCTTTCTTGCAATGTTTTGCTCAAACAATTGTATTTGGTGTTGTATTAGACAATATAAAAAATTACTCATTAAATCACTGTCATTGTCCATGCAACATACTAAACGAGATCCATAACACTAATAGTTCAGAAAGGTAAAGGGTCCTTACAAAAGCATATGAAAAGGAAGGTGTTTAAATTACGTGATCTTAAAAATCTACCATTATAGGATATTTGTAAGTATATCATTACCTTCTCATCTACATATCCACCTTCTTACTTATTATGTACAAAGCTTGTTATTTCTGGTAAACCCATTGCCGCTGAGTCGATTCCGACTCATAGCGACCCTCTAGGGCAGAGCAGAACTGCCCCATGGTGTTTCCAAGGGTGCAATTATTAAAAAAAATTTTTTGTCTTTATCGAGAATATACCCAGCAAAACATACACTAATTCAATCATTTCTACATGTACAATTCAGTGACACTGATTACATTCTTCGAGTTGTACAACATTCTCACCCTCCTTTTCTGAACTGTTCCTCCTCACCCATTAATATAAAGTCACTGCCCCCTAAGGTTCCTATCTAATCTATCAAGTTGCTATTGTCACTTCGATCCCATATAGATAGTTCTCAAAAGAGCATAATGCTCAAGGCAGACATTTTTTACTAGTTAAGCTAAACTACTGTTTGGTTTTAAGAAGACTTCAGGGGATATTTTTGGTTTAAGTTTTAAAAATTATATCAAGGCAACAGTTTCAGGGGTTCATTCAGCCCCTTGGCTCCAGAAAGTCTGGATTCTATGAGACTTTGAAATTCTGTTCTGCATTTTCCCCCTTTTGATAAGAATTCTACTGTAGACTCTTTGATCAAAATGTTCAGTAATGGTAGCCGGGCACCATCCAGTTCTTCTGGTCTCATGGCAAAGAAGGCAGTTGTTCACAGAGGCAATTAGCCACACATCCCATATCCTCCTTCTATTCCTGATTTTCCTTCTGATGTTTCAGGCAAATAGAAACCAAATGTTGTGTCCAAGGCTGTAAATGTTTATAGAAGCAGACTACCACAGCTTTGTCCCACAGAGCAGCTGGTGGGTTCGAACCGCTGACCTTTTGGTTAAGCACTTAACCACTGCGCCACCAGAGCTCTTTGGTAAAACTAACAGTAACACATATTCTGACTACCTTACCTACATACACATATCTTACCTTTCTATGACTTCTACCATCCCAGACTTGCATTCTATCCTTTGATGATCTCCATTATTAGCTTCTATTGAAAACTTGGAGCCCTGGTGGCACAGTGGTTAAGAGCTGCGGCGAGCTACAGCTGTTAACCAAAAGGTCAGCAGTTCAAATCCATCAGCCGCTCCTTGGAAACCCTGTGGAGGAGTTCTACTCTGTCCTATAAGGTCGCTATGAGTCGCAATCAACGTGACGGCAACGGGTTTTACTGAAAACTTCCCAATGTGTAAAACTGGGAATGACCACCCCCCAATCCAGCCACTTCAATCCCAGAAATAGTTCTCTAATACAACTGCGAATTATACTTGTTAAAAAAAAATAGTCTTCTCACTTAATGGAAAATATAACTAACTGGGGATAGTTACAAAAAAGGGTACCCAGAAATTCTTTTCTAGAGATCTTTATTCTCTAGAAAATGGAGAATTAGAATTAAAGGACGAAATCCCCATTGTTAGTTTTTTTTTTTTTCTTAAACTTGCAGTTAAATTCATTGTCATCACTTTGTTATTTCCTAAAAATAAACATTTGCCATTTTAATGGCTAACTACATAGTATTTGGCTCCCATATATTATCATCCCAATAATTCTGTAAGGCATTCAGCTTGACAATCGCCATCCATGGTTCAACAGAAATAAACCACCCAAACACCCATGGGAGTCTACAGCCTAGGTACAACTGTGGCCACTAGAGTCCACACCATCAAGAACTGGTAACACTTCCATTCTTGAGGCAGCCTTGGCACCCCCCCTCAATCCAGCACTTATCCTGGGGGTACTGAGTGTGAAAGGAGACCCTATAGAGACAGCAAGGCAAGGCTGGAGCTTTCATGTTGAGCCATTTACCAGTTAGCAGGAGTCCCTGGGTAGCACAAACGGTTAAGTGCTCAACTACGAGCTGAAAGATTGGCAGTTAGAACCCACCCAGAGGCACCTCAGAAGACAGGTCTACTACTGAAGGGTCACAGCCTTGAAAACCTTACGGAGTTGTACTACTCTGTACCCATGGGGTCCCTATGAGTCAGAACTGACTCAACGGCAAACAGTAACAACAATTAGCAAAATTCAAGAACTGAAAGACTATTTCTGGGCTTCATCACATCGTCCAGATACAAAACACAACTGTCCACCCATCAGAAGCAGAAGTCAGCATTCATTCTCTTGGTGAGGGGCAGGGACCTAACCTACTGAGCCCAATATAAAATCAGCTCTAAGCTACCTGTGCTAATAAAGAGCAACACACACAATCCAAAAGGCATCCGTATTTGACTTAACTACCCTTTATTAAAAAGAAGTTTCAATTCCTTAACCACATTATCAGCTAACAATGAAAAAGACTAAAATACAATTCTGTTCACGAGAAAGGCAAAGTTAGCCTGGGAGGAAAAGTTTGACATGTCATGAATGAAAAATAACTTAAAATATTTTTAAATTATGCATATCTGAAAATAATGTTTTTTACTTAAATATCCTTTTTATAAATTAATCGGCAAGATTTTGAAAGAACTATTCTGGTCAGATTCACTTATTTGAATAACCCCAAATTTAAACCCAGACTGAAAATGTAACTGATTTAAGACTCTGTTCCTTTTTATAATTACTGAATACTTAAATACTTGCCAAAAATGTGTATCTGCTATGTTATAAAGGTGTAAGAATCTACGTATAGTTGCCAGGAAAGAAAAAAAACAGACTTCTCTTTTTAATTAATCAATTCACTAGTACTCCTACTTTATTACAACTATTATAATCAATTACTTCAAAATGAGTGATTTTTTATGAGTATGAAGAACATATATGTCCCTCTTGTACTGAAATAGCCAATTACAATCAGGCTTTAAGGTTACTGTGTGTAAGATAGAGACCTACACACAAAGTTGATGTCAACAGGCTGACAACATATTCACCAATTTTAAATAGATTATTAGATATGCCAATATGGAAGTGCTTACTTCTGAGACCTGGCGGCTAAACAGTTAAGTGCCTGGCTGCTAACCAAAAGGTCTGCAGTTCCAACTCACCCAGCAGATCCATGTGAGAGAGACCTGGTGATCTGCTCCCATAAAGATTACAGCCTAGGAAACCCACAGGGCAGTTCCAATCTGACACATGGGTTCGCTATGAGTCTAAATCGACTTGACAGCACCCAACAACAACAATAATTTAACAGACAATTGAGTTTTAACATAATTTAAAAAGTTTTTTAAAAAAACCCACTGAGAATCAGAAGGTTTAGATTCCAGGTTTTTTTTTTTTTTTTTTTAAGCTGTTAAAAGAAAGGATTAGAGTAGATGAATACTGAGGTCCTCTTCCATTGAAAACTATCTTCCATGCTTCCAAAGACAATTGTTTAAAACTACAGCGCCAGGTTCGTTTGGTTTCCACTGTAGTCCCTGGAGCCGTGGTGGCGCAGTGGTTAAAAGCTTGGCAGCTAACCAACAGGCTGGCAGTTCAAATCCACCAGCTGCTCCTTGGAAACCCTCTGGGGCTGTTCTACCCTGTCCTATAGGGTCACTATGAGTCAGAATCAACTCGACAGCAATGAGCAAGCATTTGTGACAGAAAAAAACAAAGGAACTAGAGGGATGAAAACTAGAAATATTTTTGGTGCATAATATGGCTGTAACATACTTAAATGCAAATGTTAAAACTCAATTGTCTGACTGACGTGTCTAAATCCACTTCTGAAGATTATATGATAAAAAATGATTAACTCAATTAACTATTCACTAAGTATTACAATACACTTCACTCCTACATACCTGGCTTCGTAACTACAAGATGCAATTTCAGCCGTTGACAAAACAGAATCAATTCCATTTGTTTGTGCAGAATCTCGAGCTTCCCACACTGCTGAATCAGGTATTTCTGCTTTGAAAATAATAAAATTTAATGATTATATATTAAAAACTATTGTCCTTAACGTTTATTCAAGAAGTTCACTTTCCAATACAAATGTTTAATAAATTCCAAATACAGTTACCTCCAACTGGTATTTATTTCCATATTTAAGAAAAAGAAACATCTGTAACTGTAAAATGGTTTACTTCCACTATACTCTTCATCAGCTGTCAGGTAAACACTTATCATAATAAATTAAAAGCGTCCTATTTTAGTACTAGAGATTAAAAAAATACACAGAAAGATAAAATATTCCTTTAACATGGTCTCTTGAGATTGACAAAGATAAAGCGTGATCAAGAAGATGAACCCCCACTTATTGTCTTAAAAGGACTGTAAACTTCTCTGTAATGGGTAACAGTTAATGAGAAATACAAATTTCTCTAAAGGCTCTTTGCCGTTTCCTAGAAGAACTATCTGCAAAACTTAAAGCTAATTAATATGTTCAACAAACATCAAATTCCTACAAGCCATCTGATCAAAAAGTCATTTTGTAGGTCACATAACCATAAAGAGAACTTCATCCTAAATTTAAGATTTTTCTTTTGAACACATATCAGGTAAAAGAGCCTCACAAAATTATCCCCTTCCGGTAATTCTACTTTTAGTTTAACAATGCATGTTCAATTAAAAACATTCAAGTGTGCTGAGCATACCAACTGCTTTACTGAACACAACTGTGGTCTAAATAGTACAGCTATATCTCTTAATATCCAAACCAAAGGTATAGCTTTACACAAGAGTATAAAACACAGAGCTTAGTGAGCCTGCTGGCTGCATGTCACTTTACTTCCTTTACCACCTTTAGCTTCACTAGTAATTGTGAAATCGATTTAAAACATAGTTGCAGTTAGAGGGCTCCTGGGATACTATCATTAGGTTACAAGAAGCCTATGCTGTAAATACATTATCACACATTCTAAAAATATAATCTGTCATATCTCCACTATCATAAACAATACCATTAGTTAGTAAAACAAGACCAAGAGATACCACTTCAGACAATTCTAAGACAAACCTATTTTGAGTACACTGTAACAAATATATAACTAACAAACCCACCATTTCTTTTCTATTTCAGAGACTTAATGTCCATGAAAACTCAGCAGTTAACGTACCACCAGAAAAACATGGCAAAATATCTGGCTCCACAGGCTTAAGACAACTCTTCCTGGTGTGACCACAGTCATCAACATCTTTCACCCGATTATGCAACCTATACAAGCACGTCTGTATCCTAGCGCCCATACGCACAAAGCATAAATCCAAGTCAAATTCTAGGGACTGCCACTTCAATGGGGTAAAACCCTACTCGCCTCAAAAATAAAAACAGCATACTGTATCATTTGAGCGTGGTCTCTGATATGTGAGTAACACACTGCTACACCGTTACTATGAGCTAAGACAAAATGCAGAGCAGAATCTCAGTGCTGCTGAAGGCTCCTAGAAGGCTACACAGCATCTTTAACAGTCCGTTACTCTAAGTTGAGAAAAATACGTAAGAATCAGGATTATAAGTCACAGTGCAGCAGAGGGTGCTCCTAGACCAAAAAAGGAAGTGTGGAAGCTTGAACAGTCACAACCAGCTGCCTTTCAAAGGTGTTACTGCTAGCTATGCCTTCAAGTTCGGGAGTTATGTGACGTCTGTATCTGAAGGGCTAGTTAAATAGCCTAAGATACTCGTTGTGGGAATTCAGAGAGAAATCACGCTGGGGGTGCGAACAGTCTCTCTGGTCCACGTGCGCCCACGCCCTGGCCGGAGACGCAGCAGCGATGTCTCTCTTCACTGGGCTGGCTGACCTTGTCCACAGTGCAGCAGAGTGCGTGGGTCCCTCCATGAGCGCAGTGAGGTGCTTCATGTGAGATTCGGGGCAATGCAGGGACACACTGTCCTCACTGGAGGGCAAAGTAGAGAACTGCTCATCAAAACTTGACAAACTAGACGGGCACATGGAGAATGTGGAGGAACGGTTGGAGAAATCAGAGGCCAGGAGCCAGGTCTGTGAAAAAGAAATCGCTGAGAATAAATCTATGGCTAATACGATTTTAAAAACTGTTGTTTTTTTAGAATGAAAACTGAAGTTGTTGAAGGGATAGGAAACGTGCATCCTGAGAATCCAGGATGGGGTATAAAAGGCCCCAACCATGAAATCTTGAGCATAAAATGGATTCCAAACAGTGAGATCATCACTGAGAAGTGTCACTGCTGAGTACTACTCCGGAAGCAGCTTCAGAAAGGAAGTCACAGATGGAGATCCCCTGGTTAAGCTGGTCTCATTAGAAAAAGAGTGTGAATATGGGGAATAAGACACTGAAGTGTCTATAAAGGACTAAAGATGCTATTTGTCCTAATACTTTGCCTAGCCATACAAGTCAAAACGCTAGAACTGACCAAAAAAAAAAAAAATTCTTTTTTAAAAAGCTAGCATGTGGAATCCAAAGATTCTAATTCTTAAACTGATCCTCAATATTTCTAAATTTAGTTTCATGTCCAGTAATGACCCAATGAAAGAAAGATCAGGAAATAACAAGCAAAGAAGAACAAAGGCATTGAAAAAACAAGTTCTAAGCACAAGCTTAGTTGCAACCAAATATTCTAACAGGACAATCTATTCATTTTCTAATGCAGCAAATATTTTGGTAAGTTCTTAATGGGTCAAAAGGCTTAGGACATAAAAGTGAAAGGCATCAAGTTAATGCAAGAGTATAAAATACAAAGTATCATATTCACTTTTTCTAGTGAGAGAATATCTATTTCTGACAGTTTTCCAAGGCAAATGTAACGAAATTTAAATATTTCTCCGAATGATTTACCTTCTGGTTTACTACCCACATTTAGGGAAGAATGATGTGAATTATGAAAGGTCATTACAATTATGAAATCCATCGGCTAAACTGATGAAGACAATGAAGTGACAACAGCGGTCTGTTAACAAGCTGTCGATGGTCAGATTAACAACGACGGAAGGGAAGACAAAAGAGGACCAGCTCTGCTATTCCTAGGGAACGTGTGCTTGCTGATGTCAAACTTCTAGATGGAGACACCGAAAGGAGGACGTGTGTGATAAACACAAGACCCCACCCACACAGAACCCTGAGCACTGGGTAACCGAAGAGCTACCGAACGGTAAGCACAGGACATCATTTCCTTCTTTCAACACTCACTCACTCAGTATTTACTGAGTGCCCAATTGTGACAAGTGTTGTACATTTCCTTAAACTACTTATTTCTTGTTTTCTAAACCTTAAGGTTTTACCTTTTTAATAGTATCATATAGAAAATACAAAAAACAAAACCAACCTACCACAAAACCATACTGCCAATACTTAATACCCATATTGCCAAATACCACAAAGCAACTAAATCTCAACAAGAACAATTCTACATAAATAGCTGCTCCAAGATCTATGACACACAAAATTCTAGCTATCAAAAATCTCTTAAAAAGTTTAAAACGCAAAGACGGAAAAAAAAAGAAGCTTTAGAAAACCTGGAAACAATATGTATACATGATGCATAAATACACGTCTCTATTTCTTTTCTATCCTAGTTACCCCACGTAAACGTGATTACAATCAAAAGGACTGTAATCTTAAAAACCAAAGGTGCTCAGAGATGTGCGATGGCTTTCTTTTTGCTTTAATTTCACTGGGATCCTTTCTAACACAAGCCCAAGGTTTTTTAACGAAACTGAAAAAACTGGGAGAAAACCACACTGTATGCCTAATTTCTGATTAAAATTTTTCTGAGAGGCTAATTAAAAAAAATTCTTTTGGTGTTGCAGAAATCCATGAAGAAACTGTCATCAGGGTCAGAGAATTTAATTTCTAAGCAATTATTTCTCAGGGAAATAAAACAAAAAACATATATGAAAATCTTAAATAGTATTGTGGTTAGTATAATTTATTATTTTTATTAATACCTAAAACGTAAAAGCCAGAGAAACAAGAAATGTTTCTTAGATGAAATAGATTCAATAGGTTCTTATTCCAATAAATTAAAACTCCTACTATTTCTTATCCCACTTCCTCATACAAATCTTTCAGCAACATGCACTTTACCACCCCTATTGTGATACATTATTAACCAAACAACTAGGAACTGTTAACTCCTGAGTTCTGGGGCTTCCACAAAAAGATGTCCCTCATTTTCATCACAGATCTAAATGTATACAAAGCAAACTAATCACATCTTTCAAAACATTTTTCACCGTCTGTCCTTGGAAAATATTATTATCTAATTCAACAAAGCATCAATTTTGAGAAAATAACCATAAACCAGTCGTTTGCATTACATTCAGGTCTCGCTTTCAGACGTCACTGACATCTTTAAAACCCCTGAATGAAAAAAGCTGATTATTTCAACTTTGCTTTCATTTCTGTAACATTAATACCAACAGCAACATCCAGAAGTCTTCAACAGGATCACTACGACTTCAAAGAGAGCTCGTTATCTGTACCTGCTTTGCCCCTCAGGCTTTTATTCTGATAATAATGCCACTCCAAGTAGGGGTTGACGCCAGGGCGTAAAGGTGCCCTTCCTGTGCCTCTGTTGCTCGTAACAGCCACTGGTTTTCCTGCGAGGAAAAGAATAAAATTATTTCTAAATCTAAATACAGAAACGTTAACAATATTCACAACATGTAAAGGAGAAGTTTTCAAATGATTTTAAAAATATGGTATTTTTTCTCTAGCTTTATTTAGGCTCTGATCCTTAAAGAGGGTAATACCTTTAAAAATGATCAATCACTATTCAAAAATCATCTAAGTTTCTCAGCACCAACCAGAAAGTAAACTATTTGTGACAACTGGTTTTCGTTTCATTTCTCACGGGAGAAAACAGGCAACTCAGATCCTAGATTCAGACTAGAGGGGTGGGGAGAGAAAAAAAAATTAACTACATACTTTTTATATTTCTGGTCCTGGTATCAGGAAAGTAGAGTAATATTTATACTAATTTTTCAATTTTACAGAAAGAGACAAATTAAATATTATAGACACAGGCATCACAATCTGACTCACCATATAATCAAACGTGATTATACAGTTCTTCAGATAAGTTTTTGCTTTAGTTATAAAATTACTTTCAAGTAGCATTTCCTTTTGTGTGTGCTAAGTTACAAAATAACTGTAACGTTGTAAAGCAATAGCATGGATGATTCCAATATGTTTTACAGAATGCTTTTGTTGTGAGATCAACGATGCACCGATGCACCAGAAAGTCATTCACGGTTGTTACTGAGTCATAAGGAGAGATGAAGTTCCAATACATGCTACAACACGGATGAATCTTGAAAACATTACGCTGAGTGAAAGAAGTCAAACATAAAAGGATAAATACTGTGTGATCCCACTTACGTGAAATAGCTAGAAGGGACAAAGACATAGAGACCAAAGTTTACCTAGTGGTTACCAGGGACTTAAGGGTGGAGGTAGGAAATGGGGAGTTACTGCTTAAGGGGTACCGAGTTTTTGTTAAGGCCGATGAAAAACTTTTGAAAATAGTCGTGATGGTTGGACTATATGGTGAATGTAATTAATGTCACTGAATTGTACACTTAAAAAATAATTAAAATGGCAAACTTTTGTTATATTTTACCATAACAAGATTATTATTATTAAACTTACTCGTGGGCTAAAATGAATTCTTTAACATTCTAACAGTTACTCTCAGTACTACCCATGATGACAAAAAACAAGCGCTGGTATTACCCCAGCAGCTTGTGTGTCATTATCAGTAGCTGCCTCTTTAAGGAAAGGAACCGACTCTTACAAGAACATGCTAATAGTTACTTCTTTCAGACACAGAGTTAACTACTGAAAAACTCTGAAATAAATGTTTTTTAAAAGCATTGGCTAGTTCATAAATATCTGAAATTCCATTAAAATACTGTACAAATGACTTCACACATTCTAGAAATATTCAACAATACAAGATTATTCTACAACCAAAAAGTTGGAATGTTCACCGTATCAGAATAGTTAGTCAAATTATTTATTTACGATAACAGCCTAAGTCTTGTCTGTCATTACACAGGCTACCATAAAATTTCCATTAACAAAGTAATAGTAAATATAGATAAAAATACAGAAAAAAACGCTCAATGCAGGGCCCAGCCTATATGAATCAGATGATAGAGCCTTCGTTTGAAGATGAGTATTCTTCCCTGAAGACTTTATCACTACAAGGAGAAAGAAAAGTTTTCGAATTTCTCTACATCTTTCTTGATAATGGAGTCTAGAAAATTTGGAAGCAAGAACTGATTTTTGCCAAGAAAAGCAAAAGAAATTATTTTTAAAAGACTTCTGTGATCCCTTAGCATATATATTTATAATAATATATCAGTTTCTTAAAACATAAACAAGAATACAGACCTTTGAGATCTGGTCTATTTCGTATACCCACTGATACAAAGAAGCAATCCATATCAACATGCATTATACAGCTCTGATGTCTGGGGGAACTCAATACTGACATATTTCCTAGAAGGAAAAAGAGAATATTCAAACCCCAAACTAATTTTTAATATTCAAAAACTCAGATCTAGTTAATTCTAAAAATTATATTTAGAATATGCTTGCAAGCAGAATGGAGTCTTAAAAAAAAAAAGTCTATTACAGATTATGTCTACCACCTCATAAGTCAAATTTGTCTTTAGCTGCTGAAAGTAATTCAGAGATACCAATTTAGTTTCCTCTTTAGTTTCAAAACACAATTTTAAATCAACTGTAAAGAATGCCATGTCTTCCCTTTCTATATTCTAATAATTCTCTAAAACAGTCAAAAAAGCCTAAAAATAATTTCTGTACACTGATTATAAGTTTATGATTTACACATTTGGTTACGTGGAGCTAAGTAACTTTTGGCAATTACTACTCCACATACTCTACAAACATCCCTTGATAAAATAACAATAAAAACTGCTACTGTTATTCAATGTTTCGTAGGCCTAATGCAGGTCAGGTGCCGTGTGAGAGTTCTGATTGTTGTGTGCTGTCAATTTTGGACTATGGCGACCCCATGTGACAGAGCAGAGCTGCTCCATAGGGTTTCCTAGGCTGCAATCTTTACAGGAGCAGATCACCAGGTCTTTTCACCTTTGGAGTCGCTGGGTGGGTTCAGTTAGCAGCCGAGCGTTTAACAGTTGTGCCACCAAGGCTTTACATGTATTAATTTATTTAAATTCTCACAACACTACCAGGTAAGTAATCTCATTATCCTGTTGGACAAATTAATAACCACTCGAGTCACACAGCCCGTAAGCAGCTGCACTGCACCAGGTAGTCGGCTTTCAAAGAACCTCTGACCACCGTGCTGCTGTTCTCAAGAGATACACTTCAAAACAGAACAGAAAATACAACGTCGGTATGTAAGCAGAATTCTCCTTATGCCACTAAAGACCATAGAGTGTTAGCTCTGAAGCATACACACCACACGGAAGGAGATAAAGGTGAGTGCCCTCTCCTAGGGACTCTGGCTCCTAATCACTCTGCGCTGTGCAGAAATTCATTTTAACCCTAACCTTGCCACAACCAGAGCTCTCCGCTCTATCGGTGTCTCACCCGTCACCTTCTTCCCTGGACCTCTAAGATACACAAGTCCTGGAAATAAGAACCCTGCTTGTAAAATGTTCTGATTTCATAAAGGCGTTTTCTCTGATGGGCTTAAGAATACTAATCCTGAGGGTAATCCTCACAACAGACTTCCAAAAACTTAGATCCCACTCCCCCAAGGGTTTCTGACTTTTCTCTTTACCAAAAGTATGACTGTGATAGCATTTACCTCGTTCTCACTATGAGCAAGGCACCGAGCCTTTGTGTGTGCTATCCTTCTTAAACTCCTACTCTCTGTGATGTGAGCATAACAGGTTAGCACTCCCTGCAGGGACAGGGGAAACTGACCCAGAGAGGTGAACTAACTTGCCCATGGTCCTGTGGCATAAGAGCAGCCGAGCCATTGATGAGATGGACCAACCATCATGAGGATGGCATAGGATGGGACAAGGTTTCATTCTGCTACACGTGGGGTCACCACGAGTCAGAGCTGTCTCGATGACAACAGCATCTGACAGCAAAGCTAAGCGCTTTCCTGCTACTCACTAGATTACCCTGGGAAATGGTTCACACAAGGAACTTGAAAAATCACAATTCTGAAGTATAAAAAAATTATGCAAATGTAACATAAACAATCCAAAATAATGACTTTTTAAAACATTCACGGTAGTACAGAACGTGTAAGCCAAATATCTACTGACTGTTCTCACATGATATGAAAAGTTCTCATTTTATTCCCATTCATGGAAATAACTCGTAATAGTTCTTTGAAGCTTGCAAAATTAAATGACCCTCAGGTTGACAAAGCCAAGGCATAATCTAAGGACAATCTAAAACCTATAAGCATTACTCTGAAATACTTTGTAAGTGCCAAAAAGCACTTCTGACGAAAAACAGGTAAGAATATATCAAGCGTAGCAAAATACAGCAGGAAAAACCCACATGGAGAGCCTCTATCACTTTTCTAGGACATAACCACGAGCTTCTCTGTACCTGAGCTTCACAGCTATCAATTAAAGGGTAACATTAGTCATCTGAGATCCTTCCCCTCACCCCAAACCCCCACATACCCTATAATCTGCAAAAAGCAACTAAAACCTCAAACCAGATAGTCACTTACAATGACTGGCACAGAAATACAGATTGCTATTGTTGGCTTTGTTTGTTGGTTTGTTTTGGTTTTGATGACAAGTATTAAAAAAAAAATACAATTAACCAGTCTACTTACATGTGAAAACACACTTAACTAAAAATTTCCCCCTATAATTACAACAGCCATCATGTCAAAGTTACTTAATTATTTAAACGTCACCACCAGCAAACTTCCAGAAATCAAGTTACTCTTACCAAACCAATTTCATTCTCACAAGAGTTTAAGCACTAAATATAATACATTTTACAGAGTTGAAAACTTCCACCTCTCGTGACGTCTACACTAAGGTATGAATGCTCAGAACCGCAACCGTCACTTTTTAAATTACCTGAAAATTTTCAGCTAGCCCTAACTAACTCTATTTTTTAAATATTTTTAATAAGAAAGCTTTCTAAAATCAGTTAGCCGTAACTTACATAGGCTGATGCTCCTAGAGAATTTAGCTATGGAAATGATGAAGTATGACCGTTTCTTAAGAAAACAATTTTAGTAAGTATCTACCTGTGTCAGCTACATTAAGGGCAGACCTGCCTGTTTTCATTTTTTTTAACTTTTCCCTTCCTGGAAAGACACCACTATTCTGTCTTTGTAGGGTATTGACAAACTCAGTCAATTCACACTTCCACATTGATATGTGATGCAGTCTTGAGCGAGAATAGAAGTTGGAAATAAAACCGCAGTCCGAAGGTTTGGATGGCACTGAAGGTGCTGCCTTGCTAAGAGCAGGTACTGAAGAAGTGCTTTTTGTGCTTGAAGGCCCCTGAACAGTAGATGGGTGAGCACCATTTATCTTCGTGGTACTATGAGAGGATGAGGATGAGCAGGAATTAGTCCTGTGTGGACTCCGCACAGCAGCTGCGTTTCTGCTGCTCTGTTGCAGCTGCTGCGCAGCACAGTCTCTGAAGTCAGTGCTGCCCTTCTCAGCCGCCTCCTCCTCCGGGCCAGAGTCTGGAGAAAGCCTGCTGGCAACACTGTTGCCCACGGGCACCAAGCAATCCTGTGTCTTTAAGGCACCGTTAGAGCTGTGAGCGTGGCCATTAACAATGGCCGGGCTGTCTCTGTGATGCGGAATTCCGTTTTGTTTCCATCCCGGAAAGATCTCCTCCAGTTCCACACAAGTGAAATCATGACTCGCATCTGTGGAATCATGACTCGCATCTTCTTCACTCCAACTGTTTACTCCATTGACCTTGACCTCATTTTCTGTCTCAATCTTCTTAATTACGTGATTTCTAAAGCAGGAAAAAAATTTTATTTGAATTAATAATTTCTGACCCTCAAGCTAAAACAATTTTTTTCATTTCAACATTTTCTTAGTGATAAAAACCAAACCAAACCCATTGCCGTTGAGTCGATTCCAACACTTCAATATTTCTCCCTCAAAAAACTGAAAATTAAACAACAAACTTTGTATTTTTTCCGTTCCACCAAAAGATAACTTTTTGTTAAACCAAAGTAGCAAGATAACTAGAAAAATCCTAGACTATTAACAGCCTTTTAGGTTTTGTTTTTTTCTTTTCGTTTTTGACAGTTTCAAATAAATACAGTGGAATCTTTTTCATGTTGAAAGCTCCGAACACCCAGTTCATGGCACAGTGTCTGGCGTTTAACAGGTAGTCAATAAACACTGGCTGAATTGATACAGTATTAGTAGCGCCTATAAAGATGGATAAGAAACTTTATTTGAATTCTTATACTTAGTTTTATGAAAGGCGCTGTTCAACTTACTAAACCAAACACCGCTACAATGTGATTAACGTTCTCTGAGGCCAGTTTCACTCAGGAGAAAATTACATTCATTAACTCTATGGGACTCACTGATGCACAGGTCGATTAAAAACTAAGAACCAGGTCAATGTGTACAGTAAAGCCGATCCCTAGAAAAAGGAGGATGCGTGCCCTAGTGACAAGGGAAGCGGCTTTTCATTTCTAGGAAAAGCATATTTAGGTGTCATGGTGGTCCAAGGAAATGTGGACCAAGTTTCCTGATGACAGGTTTGTAAATGCCAGCCCTATGGACAAATGTTACGCTAAATTCACATCCTGGCTCCTCTGGATGTCTGCTTGGTTCTTTCTGCTCTGCAATAAAGACAAAATCCATCTACAGTCACAAGAATCATCTAAGTAACAAAAACAGAAAGCTAAATTACAGCGTAGTAATTCTTTCTGCTTAGACACGTCCACAGCACTCATCAACAGCAGCTCAGGCCCCAGTGAAGGGGTGCCACGCGTCAGTGCCCGGGTACCAGTGAGATCACCACCGTGTCACCAAGTCCTGTCTCAAAGTGCCCCCCCAACACCAACGCGGTGTGTCGGCAACGACAGTCCAACCACACAGAAAAGTCCCGGGAGTCGGATGCGGAGCACTAGCACCTGTTTCTGGGCTGGCTCTGGCTGACCATCTCATGGAATATGACAGCCAACTTTGAGAAGATCCGATCCTCAAGAAAGACCAGGCCAGTGAAAGGGAAAAGGAAGAATAACTGCCAACAATTAAAAGAGGAAGGGAAGAAAACCCAATTATGTCAGAGAAAGTCTGGCCTTTGGGATAAAGAGAAATCTGGGGGGAGGAAGGGTAAAAAGTCACATTTTCAAGGAAATGTATATAATGTATTAAGCATACCACAGATCTCACACAAAGGAAAAAAAGTGAAGCAAGTCAGAAAGTCTTACATCTAGTTGTCTGTCTCAGCACATGAGGATTCTTTACATGGATAATAGCAACACGTGCAACAGGAATACATATATTGGCAAGAAAATATATCGTTAATATACATTTTTTATGTACTATAGTTTCTCAGCCTGGACAAAAGGGTATATGCAAATTAGCTGCACTGGAACTGTATCACTGTAAGATAAATATTTATTAGACAACAGCAAAAATGCATAAAGAAGTAAAAGCTAATATGTAAAATCTTCCTAAAATTGTCGAAGAAAAATTTCAAAACACGTTTTCTACTTTTATTAGCGTGGATAAGAGAAAAACAGGAAGCTGTGTATTCCGTGGAAAGGTTTTCTGATATTATTTATTATATCTTAACAGTATTAAAAAACAGTCAAAAGTTTTAGGTAAATGTGAAAAATATGAATCTGCTTGTAAGTTAATACAAGTTAAAAAACAAATGACAACAACAAAAATTACAGAAGGGAGTGATATTGGATCCTCCCAGGTTAATTAGACTCTGGTCTTTTGGAAAAAATATACTCAATTCCCAAAGCAAGCAATTTAATAAATAAGGTGTAGGCTAATGATAATGAACCACCTGATATACAAGTTAAAGTAACACACCAATTAACTGTGAAAGCAATTCACCCAGGATTATTACAATTAAAGCTTAAATTAATATATTTTTTAAAATCAGCCACAGTGAAACAAAGTCTAGACTCACCCCCCAAATTGAAGGTCGCCAACTAAACTTCCATTGATATAAAATATTTACATATTTAGAATCGTTATCAATTTGGAGTTTTGGAATTTTGCATAAATAACCTAGAAATGTTAACATTAAAATACGAAAGGAGTTAATCCCATTTTTGAGAAAGAAACATTCTATAGCAAATTACTTCAGTGGAAATAACTGCTTTTAGGAAAACACATGAAAAAATGTACTACTAATAATTTAAGACCCACTGGTTTAACATGGGAATGTACTACGATTGGAGAAACTCATTACATTTTATTTATGAAACTTTCTTTGTAAAAATAATTAACTTTTAGGTAAGACACTCCACATACACATTTCAACAAGCTTAATACAGGATGAACAGCCAGATGTGACACTTGTTCCCGTCTAACTTCAACAGAGCGGGGGCCATACTGGCTTCTAAAAACCAGCTCTGCAGTATTCCCGACCTAGACAAACTTACACCCTGTTGTTGAGCTGTTTGGCTATATTGCTTGGACCTGGCATAGGATCTTCAGGTTTGCATACGGGATTAAAGTTGAGGCCTTTCTGCACACTGGACTGCTTGGTGTACAGCTGATACGGAATGTAGGATAGTAGTCGTCCAGCTTTAATGCTGAAACAAAAAAGGAAGACGAATTTAGAGCTCAATACTTGAAACAAGCTTCATGAAAAATCAGTGTTCTTAATGACAGAAGTATCTCACCAACAATGAGCTCTTTGTTTTCCTAGCTTATTCCTTCTTCCCCTGTTTTAGTGGTCCTAATACAATATAATTTTATTTAAACACTTAAGACATTCCATCCATTAAAAGACATAGGGTACACCTGAAATTTTTAACAATGAGTGGCCAGCAATCTTACCTGAGGGGGGAAAAAAACCACACACATGGCAACCCCATATGTGTCAAAGCAGAACTGTGCTCCACAGGGCTTTCAATGGCTAATTTTTCAGAAGTAGACAATCAGGTCTTTCTTCTGAGGCACCTCTGGGTTGGGGGGCTGGCACCTCCACCCTTTCAGTTAGCAGCCAAGCTCATTAACCATCTGTACCACCCAGGGAATCCAGAGCTGGACTAGTCAATATTCTAACCATCATGGTTTTAATACCCACTGTCTTCGAGTAAGGAACTATTTGATTTTTTTTTTACATTTTCTTATATAAAAATAAAAATGAATAAGCTTCACAGGAGTAAAGTCTATTAAGCCCTATACTAAGTCTGCTCAAAGTCCAAAAAAACAAATTCGTTGCCGTCGAGTCAATTCCAACTCATAGTGACCCTACAGGATAGAGAAGAACTGCCCCATAGGGTTTCCTAGGCTGTCATCTTTACCAAAGTAGAATGCTGCATCTTTCTCCCACGGAGTGGCTGGTGGGTTTGAAACCACTGACCTTTCAGTTAGCAGCCGAGCGCTAAACCGTGCGCCACTAGGGCTCCATATGGCTTGAACAGTTACCATTACTCCCCCTTCAAATGATGAATGTAGAGTTAGCAAGACTTTCTCAAATCCCATTTCCGATAGTAAGCTTTTCCAGAATAAGTAAATCTGGGGGAGGACAATTTCCATAAATGTTTGTCACTTGGAAACGCTGGTGGCCTAGTGGTAAAGAGCTACAGCTGCTAACCAAACAGTCAGCAGTTCAAATCCACCAGGCACTCTGGAAATCCTATGGGGCAGTTCTACTCTGTCCTATAGGGTCGCTATGAGTTGGAACTGACTCGATGGCAATGGGTTTTTTGTCTTGTCCTTCCTTATAATATTCATGTTAAGTTTATTAAATGTGAAAAACTATCAAATAGAAATATAGTACAGAATAAAGAATCTAAAACTCTAAAGAGTATTAAATAATTTATACTATTCTTATTTGTGTGAGAGTGATAGAGACAAGACCATTTGAGGATATAAACTCTAAGAGGGCAGAAGCTATTATAGAGACCCTGTTTCAAATGCTCACTACATTTCAAATGTCATCATAAAAACCAGGGGAACACTAGTGTAATATTAAGTGATACTGGCACATAACTGAACTCCCAAACGCCCATCTTCTTTTGTTCTTCTGAACCAAAACTAATTTGATCAAATGGTCTTAAACTGTTTTATTGCTTTCTAATAAACTGGATTATATATATGGTTATTGTATCCTTAAAAACATCATTTGCACTTCAAATTCAAAATAGCCAACCAATGTATTTATGCTAACATCGAAATTTTAACACAGGCTCCTTAAATATCAGGGAAAATTTCAAAGTCATTCCTTAATTATTTGGGGAAAGAAAATACTAAATAATAGAACAAAATTACTTTTTTATGGTCTCATAAACCGAAGGATTTCAACATTTTTATTATTTCAAATAGCACTACAAAAAACTTTAAAAATAGCAATCATGAAAGAAAAGACTGAATTGGCTTACTGAAAACCACTTAAGAATACTGAGTTAGTAACTCAGTGAATATAGGAAAACATGACAACACACTCTAAAAACAGAACTGTGTAACAGTATAGACTGTCCTTTATGTAATTACAACCCCACTGCCATCAAGTCGATTCTAACTCATAAATATTTAGTAATTCTACTTAAAGTAACAAACTATATCCACAGACTAAAACTACCAAATTCTGGTGGTAAAGACAAAACAGTGACAGCATGTTCCAATTTTCATTTACTCAAGCAGATGTATTATCAGGCTAGAAGTTTTATCAAGATTACATTTAAATTACTAGAATTAAAATGCTAAAATTAGGCCATTTATTAATTTATTTTATATCAAACCAACTTTTTTTCCTTTAACAGTTGATTTCAACTGCCTGTCTACGGATCTCTGTCTTCTGATAGTATTATCTATCTCAACTCGCCTGCTTTCTTCCCCCGAGCAAAAGGACTTCACATCTGAAGCAGAATCCTAACTTTGGCCTTCTACTCTTGCCACTATATACAGCTACAACAAAGAGATAAGCAGAGAGTGAAACTACACCCAGGGTGCCAGTAACACAGATGGGTTAAAACCAAAGTGCAAGGAACAGAAGCAATGCCCTGTATCATGCTTGCCTCTTGCACCCCACAGACAACCTGCTGGGGTGAGGCAGACTCTAAAGGTACTCTCTCTCTCTCACGGTCAACAGCAGTCACACAAAAGGTGTGGATCTTGTCCAACTCCTAACAAGCGCCATGCCACCAAGCTAAACTTTTTGGCTTATAAAGTAAATAAATCCATGGAGACTGTTATAAAACAAGAAAGCCAATTTAAATACTGCAGTTTCAAATCAGACATCCTCAGAGACACCTGGTAAAAAGAATTAAAGCACTACAGCAATGTGAAGCCCAAACCTATGTATCTGTTGTATACTTCTAATTATACTGGCTCAGCAATTCATCTATCTATAGACACATGGGCACCATCTGAATGTATTTTTAGGAAGATCTTCTTTTAAAAATCTCTCAGGAATTAATTTCCAACATTACTAAACTTCCAATAATTTATCCTAAGCACAAAAGAAGTTGATCTACATTTTCTACTATTCTGCTTACAGAAGATTTTTTTTAAAAAAGCCAAATATTAAAATTGAAATGAAAGAGCTGATAGAAATAAATTCTTCACTTTACCAAAATAAATTACTAGAGGATTTGTTCATATACTGAGTCTTCCATACACACTGAAATTACATTCGGATGTACATGGAAGAGTTTATATTTCATAAAGTGGATCAGACACATACGCACTGCAGCTGAAACACTCATCCACTTTCAGGACTCTTAATTCTTGCTTTGTCCTACAACCCAAAGTTATCTCCGAAGCCAACTTTGTATCTAACCATTCTCTGAATCACTTTTTATTTCCATCAATGGCCAATGACTTTATACTGGCAGTTTTAACCAGATTCTGAGAAATTCTGCAAAAAGGAAGACAGAAATAAAATCACTATATTGATTTCTATTCCAAACTCATTATAATTAGTTGTAATAGTGTTTGTATGAAACAATTCTGCACATCAAATGTTTTTACTGTTCCCAGTCAATGTACCAGTCATTCTTTATTTAAAAAACAGCACCTATCCATTCATTCAGGGATCCATCTCCTTCCTTTTTCAAAGTGTATTTAAGGCAAGAAACTAATTATGTGCCAAGATAAGAAACTGAGCTGCCTTCCCCTATTATTCCAACATTAAGCAAAAACCTTCTGTTGCTGTCGAAGTTGATTCTGACTCATAGTGACCCTATAAGGACAAAGTAGCACTACCCCATAGGGTTTCCAAGGAGCGGCTGGTAGATTCAAACTGCAGACCTTTTGGTTAGCAGCCAGGCTCTTCACCACTGCACCACCAGGGCTCCAAAAGCATTCTTACGTATTCAAAATTCAAATTCTCTCCTCCCTGTCTCCATTACCTAAACTTTCCAACCACTCTCCAGGGTAAGACACCATGATCTCAGAAATGGAAATAAACAGGTGAGAAAATATGTATCTGACATGTTCCCCTTATGTTTCTTCAGCTACAGATACAGACAGTTACACTATTTATTCTTTAGCTCCTGAAGACTAAGACCACATTTTCTAATAAAATATTACACACAGCAAGTCGTTGGCGGATAGTCTCAAATGCGTGTGTGTGTTGGTTAGGGTGAAACAAAAAAAAACCAAACCCGTTGCCATCGAGTCCTTCCTGACTCACAGCGATCCTACAGAACAGAGCAGAACTGCCCCATAGGGTTTCCAAGGCTGTCACCTTTACGGAAGCAGACTGCCACATCGTTCTCCTGCTGAGCAGATCGTGGGTTCAAAGCACCGACCTTTCGGTTATCAGCTGAGGGCTCTGACCACTGTCACCAGGGCTCCCATTGGTTAGGGCTAGCCAAGTAAAAATAATTTGAGAAGAATTTTGTGTTGCTGTGAGAGAAAAATGGAAATCACACTAACACTAACTAAAAAAAAAAAAAAAAAAAAGCCAAATCTATACCAGAAACCAGAGTAATGATTTCTATACAGAATAAATTAAGGCAGGATACAAAAACACAAAGTAAATGAAATATATCAGATGTAAAACTGCAGGTAACTTTTGTTTAAGTGAGCTGAGTAGGTACTCCAGTATTTACAGTGAGTACAATGAGAACCAACCTAAAGTTTGAGCCTATATGAAATAAAATAAGAGCCCCTGAAATCATCTTAAGTATATGGTAAGTGTGCTAATTCACGGTTTGGAAGTTTAGAAAGAAAGCACAGGCATCTATGGGGAATCAGTTGCTCCCACTAGCAGAGCCCAGTGAGTTGGCATGAGCTGGAGCAATAATATCTCACCATCAGCTGTCAACTGACAGCAGACTCGTGAAATCTAACTATGGGACGAAGTAGGTTCCTCTGCCACACAAGACTCAACCAAGTCCAGAGCAACAAAAATGAGAACAGTGTTTTTAACCCACGTTCCACAGCAGCCCTCAGGCTTGATGGGACAGTGAGGTGAATCACAGCAGTAACTCCATTATCTATCCTATACTCAAATTTCAATGTAGAGTTGCCTGAAGAAAAGAAATATGACAAAAATTTAAAAACCACTTATACCATATACAAGTGTGAAGACTGACAAGGCAAAAGGCTTTAGTAAAATAATCTGGTACCTTTAATT